TAACTAAGAGCCCATGGATAACCATGGATGAAAAGGGTGCTAATACCTTCCCTTTTCATAATCTACCCCCCGAACCCACTAAACATCTCAAAAAGGTTTTTCCTGTGCTTTTTAAACCTTTCCTTTAGGATAAAATAAAAAGTCGGTGGTGACTCTTGCTAAACCGAACAAGTGCGAATACGAACGCAAAACTCAAGTCAGTTCTCCCACCGTATCACAGTATGCCTCACCATGAACCTTCGAAGGACTCTATCATTGGATCGAATGGCAACCTGGGCCTCTTTTCGATCCAGGCCTACGCTCCACCCCCTGTTTACTTTTGCTGCCTGGCCCATTTATACTTGTTTACTTTGTTTTTGTTTATTTCTTTTAGTTTGTTTTTTTTTAATCAACATAAAAATCAGGAAAAATATAAGTAACTTAGAATTAGGTTTTACTTTTTAATGATTTAATTTAGTTAATTATTTTAACTTATTTTCCTCAATTTTAAAATTAGTAGACTTAGGATTTATTTGAATCCTTTTCATAAACTAAAAATGCAAAAAATATTAATTTTATTTTAGAGTTAATTTTAATCAATAATTTTAATTAATTAGACTTAATTGACATTTAGCATTTTCCAAACAAAATAAAACACAAAAGAGATTTCCTTACACTTAGGATTTAGAAGTTATTTTCAATTCACATGCATTTATTGCTTTCGTTATCATTTTCATACTATTATAACTTCTTACTGGATGTAATAGATTCAATTAGGACTTTACATTTACTGCTTTATTTTCTCCCAAGTTTTGGACATGTAAATAATCCCTTCCCCGAAGCCTTGTAATAGCTAGATTTACATTTACGCACTTCTTATTACTGCAAATTATTAATTGTTTAGATGTATGTTAATAGGATTGTATGGCAAGAATAAAACAAAACGCTAGCAAACCTAAATGCAAAGACAAATAACTGAATACAACACAATTGCACATGTACACCTCTAGGATATCCCACTTTGGTTGCCTTCGGAAAAATAGTCACAACTCTCAAAACGTGAGAGATTTTAGTGGCTACCCTCCAGTTTAAAAATCATAAGTTCCTCGATGACCCTCTCAATGTTGCCTCGGTAAAAATGATCTTAAAGCTCTAGGATAGTTACTAAGGTTTCTCGCCCAATTGCCTTTATGACTGTATAAATGTCCCTTTGAATGTCTCTCAAACATCCAACGACTATGGCTACCTACTCACTAATAGTAGGGTAGCACTGTCTAAAGGAAAAGAGGAAAAGAATAACCTTCCGAGTAAAAGTAGATAGTTGTTAGATGCTGGCTCAAACAATCTTTACACTTACACAAAACCACTTTCAAAAACATTTTTAAAATGCTTTATCAACACTCTTGAGGACTGATACAAGAGTTATCATAAAGCAAACTTCCATTTTGACATTTCAAAATACTTTTCAAAAGACACACAAAGCACAAGGTATTTCAAAATGAGCTAAGCATCTAAGAGTCCATAGATAAATACGGATGAAAAATGTGCTAACATCTTCCCTTTCCATAATTTATCCCCCTTACTCGGAAAACTCTTGAAAGGTCTTTTTCTGTTCTTTTCACCCTTTTCTTTGTTGGATAAAAGAAAAGTCAGTGGTGACTTTTACTTACCGCAACATTTGTGAATACAAACGCAAAACCAGTACAACAGTCGGTTCTGGCACCATATTATAGATGCTTTCAATTTTTATTTTTATTACTTTTGATAATATAAATTGTGATAAGGATGCCATGATAAACATGATCAAAAAATAAAAGGCTAACGGTTTTTTTAGGAATTCCCCTTAGAATTTATTTGGAATTTTCAATTATTCTTTTCAGGTGTGGTAACTATTTTGTTTTTATTTTGGCCATGATAGTTTTTAGTAGCTTTTAGTACCAATTTTGTGTGATGTTATTGAATAAAAAAAGACTTGGTTTTGAAGCAAGCTGAGAGCTTAATTGTCATTAAGGAAATTCAAAAAACCTTTTGGTAGAGTTTCTTATCGCTTACGCGGCTTTGAAGAGGCAACTGACCTTTCTCCATTAGGAAGCTTTGTGTAGAGTTTTCTTACTACTTGCATGGCTTTGAAGAAGCAATTGGCCTTCTCTGTTAGATCTGATTCTTATGCAGGTTTATTGTGCGATATGCAGATATGCTTGAGATTCTGATTATAATTTATTATCACATCGATGATGCTTCGACGCTTATTCCGAGCATTTGATTTCGGACTCTCATTTGTTGCTTGGTGAAGCTCACTCGAAGTTTTTCGGGTTTCTCTGTTTTGCTTGCTTTGCTACGAACTTTTGTTCGTTGGGTATTTTTTCTTGTTTATCTCATTTCAGCACTTTACTACTTTCTAGAGATCATGAGAAGTAGGGATTTTACCGCTTTCTTTGCCATGTCAAGTAGGAATAGAGACGTGTGACGGGGATCTCCGTTGCTGATATATGTCAGGAATCCCTGATTTATTTAAAGACCTGTTTAAGGCAATTCCACATATTTGACTTGTTTGTTATTTGTGTTTGTTTAAAATCCTACCTTTGAAGTAGGTATTTTGCACGTGTGTTTACATTTGTGCCTGCATTATATTACAGATGATAAGTCCTCAAAAGGAGGCAAGCGGAGAGGGTTCGCAATCAACCCCCGCACATTCTAGTCTGTGTCATCCTTAGCTCGCGTTGTACGTCGATGCTTCGGAGTCGTGTAGATCATGTGTATCGAGTCGATCATGTGGAGAAGGGTTCGCAACCAACCCCCACATTTTGGAAGGAGTTCGCAATGGCCATTGTTGATACTTCACTACCCGCTTGTTTGCTTCGGGTGATCCACTCCCCTTAGCTAAAGCTTTTCTTTTCTTTTTTATTTCATCCGTCTCCCGCTTGTTTGCTTAGGGTGATCTGATCCCCTTAGCTAAAGCATTTCTCTTGTTCCCCCCATCCCTTTGAGTCAGTATGTGCTACTTATGCTTCTCTTAGGATCGCTCGATTAGAGTAGCTTTCGAACTAGACATCAGGATAGGTTCCATGCATGCTAACATAGGTTAGATATTTCCCTTTCAAACTCAACCATAGGTCAATTATTGTATGATAACATTAGGGATAGATTTAGGATAGTCTCCCATAAATATTTTTCTTTCTTTTGCATTCTTGCATTAAGACTAAAACTCTTTTCTTGATAAATGCACAAAATATCTAACAACTTTCAAATCCTTTTTCAAGGTAAAAAATATCAACCAATACAAACTTTTTGCGCCTTCGGGCTTTTCTTTCAAACTTTTTCAAAAGAGCATGTTAATTCACTTCTGTGCTGACGCGTGAGTCTCCAAAGGTCGAGCTGCGGCAGAAGGCGAAATTAATTCCGTTCATTAAAAAAGACAAAACAAATCAAAACATATTAGTTGAACTACGGATGCTCTGATTCCTTAAAAAGGATACGTAGACATTAGGGTAGGGCGTGAACGAGCACAACTTTATTTTTCCTACATTATTTTCTCTTTTCTTTTGCATGCATTTCCTCTTTGCATTTTCTTTTAGCTCTTAAGCTTAGATTTGAAACACACCCTTTGATTAAGACGATAAGAGTGGATACCGTTAGAGTACTACGGGCGTGTGGGATGTTAATACGTTCCACTCACGTAACAGACTCCCTTATCCGATCTCTTGGTCGTTTGACCTTGATTTCACCCTTCTCAAGTTTACTCGATGTTTATCTTTCCCTTCCTGTGAAATAAAAAATATTTAATGGCGACTTCATTGATATCATCTCGATGATTTGTTCAGCCGGTTATTTCAACAATAAAGCAAACTTTTACAACAATATATATCAAAATTATTATTTTACTCATAAAAAAATCACATTCAATCTATATATAACTAATTTTTAAAAATCAAATTGTGTAAAATTAAAATAATTTTTTAAAAAATTCTTTTAAATATATTTTAATCAAGCATGTGCAACGCACGGGTTTTCTACCTTTTAATCTCAAGAAATATGAAAAATGATAGTTTAAAAGTTGGTGTGATAAAATATTATAATCATCTTATTTTAATGACTTATAGTCAATTTATTATAAATTCTTTTAATCTCGTATATTAATTTTCAATAAATAGGTATAACTCTCGATTAGTATTAAAATTTGTTTTCATAACATTATTTACAAGTAAAAATTTTGTATACGATCATTCTTTAATTAATAATTATACAGCAATAGGGGTGTTCATGGGTACGGATCAATTCGCAAACCCATTCACTCAATCCAATCTAACCCTTATTTTTACCCAACCCGATCATATACGGGTCCAATCTGAACTAACTCATTCAAACTCATCGACAAATTCAACCCATTAATTTAGTTTTAAATTAGTCCCTTAATTTTTTTTCTGATTTAACCACCAATTTCAAAGTTTTTATGTGGTTAATTAAATCTTAAGAAAAAAATTAAAATAAAATATTTTGAAAATTAAAAGATCAAAGTGACAAAAAAATCTAATAAATTATACTTAGTTATATTTTGACAAAATATCTATTTTAGACCTTTAACTATAATGTATTTATAATCATTTTTTTCTATTAAAATAGTCTATAATATGAAGAAGTAAAATTTAAATATATTTTTATTTAAATGCCCTACAATATACTTTAATATACAAAGGAAATCTTCAACTAAGTTAAAAGACCTAAGGATACATTAAGCCTAAAATTTAAACACTTAAAAACACTTAGTCCAAAAAATCCTTGGGTTTCTATGCTAGCTTGTGGTTTAATTGAAATAAAAGAAATACACATTAGAAATGAAGAAGTCTAGATCACCCTTCAAATTAATTAAGCAATAAAACAAAATTCATAAATCCATTATAAATAGAGTCAGATGTCTTTGATCTCTAATAGGTAAAAATGGTAAAGAAAAAAGAACAGAAAATAGCATTTCTCAAAAACTAAAAAAAAAACTGATGACTTAACAAAGAACAAAAATTAACTCATCAGAGAAGATCGGCAACATTTGAAGGCAATTCCTCTACGGTGACATTGTAAAACTTCTGAATATCAGACATCATTCTTGCATCATCCACAGTGACAAAGTTTATAGCAACACCTTTTCTTCCGAAACGCCCACTTCGCCCAATGCGATGGAGATAGTTTTCAGGTTGGGTAGGAAGATCATAGTTTATCACCAAAGACACTTGCTGAACATCAATACCACGAGCCAAAAGGTCGGTGGTAATGAGAACTCTGGAAGAACCAGAGCGGAATTCACGCATGATGATATCACGAGTGTTTTGGTCCATGTCTCCATGGGTGGCTGAGACTGTATGGTCCCTGCCTCGCATCTTGTCAGTGAGCCAGTCCACCTTGCGCCTTGTGTTGACAAAAATGACACTCTGAGTGATAGCCAGAGTCTCATAAAGGTCACATAATGTCTCTAGTTTCCATTCTTCCTTGTCAACATTCACATAAAACTGCTTAATACCCTCAAGGGTCAATTCATCACGCTTTACCAGAATTCTCACTGGCTTATTCATGAACTTCCTTGTGATCTCCAAGGCCTCTGGTGGCATTGTAGCAGAGAACACTCCAACCTGAATTTTAGGTGGCAGCAGCTGGAAGATATCATAGATCTGGTTTTTTGAAACATAAAAGAAAAAGGACAGTTAGTTATTTATGACAATAAATTCATCTGGTGCTAGTGAAGGCATGTCAAATGAAGATAAAAGGGTTTCAGAGTTTGAAAAACAAGAATGCATGAAACACGTGCATCACAGTGCCAAAAAAAAAGAATCCAGCCAAATTGAGTTCTAACAAAGAATCAGAAAACCAACACACCTGGTCCTTGAAACCACGAGAAAGCATCTCATCAGCCTCATCCAAAACAAACATTTTAATGCTGTCGGACCGAAGAGACTGTCTTCGCAGCATGTCAAACACACGTCCAGGAGTGCCAACAACAGTATGGACACCAGTTTGTAGAATACGCTGATCCTCACGAACGCTAGTGCCACCAACACAAGCATGAACTTTAACACCAAGGTAATCACCAAGAGCTCTCATAACCTTCTCAATCTGCTGTGCAAGTTCCCTTGTTGGTGCCAAAACCAAAGCCTGGCACTGAACCAAACCATAATCAAGCTGCTGCAAAATTCCAGAACAAAAGGTTGCAGTCTTTCCAGTTCCAGACTGAGCCTGCTGAATCACATCAAGACCTTTGCAGAAAGGAACAATTCCCCTTTGCTGGATTGCAGAAGGCTTCTCAAAACCTTAAGCACAAAAACAAAACATCAGACAAGGTCTTGTGGGTGAGTTACATTCATAATTTTTTTTCAATATTTTTTAAAATGCAATACTAGTACTACTGTGTCTAGATGTATTAACTTCAAAACACAACAAGAACAACTTGGCAAATTTACTTTTTAATCTGCTAAAAATTGAATATATAGGAACAGACAAATTTTCAACACCATAACTTTTGTCTCGAGCAATTGAAGAAAAGAGAATAAAAACAGTCGCCCTCTATGTTGTTGGTAGCTTATCAATGACAAGCCCAGGGATATTAAATGACCATTATCAATGGGTCCAGGGCAGGCAGGGGTCAAACAGACCAACTAAGTAATCTCTAAGTTAAATTAATGAACAACCTCAACTCTAGCCAAGCCCACTGACTAAAAGTAAATGTTTATGCTTTTCAAAAAGATAATCCTTCAAGATTAAGTTAGTCCAGCACCCAATAATTGTGAGTTAATACTAGTTAGTGCTAAAAAAATTATTAAAATATTCAGAAAGCCGAATTGGGTTAGCTCAATCTAAAGAATGGAGTATAACATAATTTAAGAGGGTAAATCATACAGAGAACAATATCAAAATGCATTACTGAAAGCGCACTTCAATAATTGCTTACTAACAATGTTATATAGTTAATAGGTTAAAGAAACAAAGAAAACATATCAATCATATACCATAAGCATATATGCCTCTCAGGAGATTTTCTTGCAATCCCATATGATCAAAAGTTTCAAAGACTTCATCATAAGTGGTGATGAGTTCTTGTCCATCAGTGGAAAGCCTGTAATTAATTTCCAAACGTTAAAATTACATGATATACAAACACAAACACAAATAACGCATTATTCTATTACTTACAATTCATTCATCTTAGTGTCATACTGCTTCGTATCAAATTGCGAACCTTCCGGAGCCAAACCTGCCATCCTGCACATCAAAGAACACAGTTAAGGTAAAATTCAACACATACTACAACAACAATCCAAATCCCAATACGAGAAAATTACAACAAATCCCAATACGTCAATCAATCAGGAAAAAAATAAAACTTTCAAACATTACTCTCGATTTCAAAAGCACAAAAAAGCATCAACCAAATAAACAACAAATCCTCCACGAGAATATGTAACGGCACACAATAAAAAAGATGATTCAATCTCAATTTCGAACTTAGCATATAACAAATCATAAACAAAAAATAAACCAATGTCATAGATCAGAACTTTTACCCTAATAAAAAATCAATGAGATCAACCTCAGATTCAAAGCACAAAACCGATGATTGATGTAAAAGTATGAAATTAATGGAGAAATTGAGTTACGTATACCTGTTCGTAGAGAGAGTGGGTGAGACGCAAAGCGAGAGAGAGAGAGAGAGAGAGAGAGAGAGAGAGAGAGAGAAGAAGGAAGAAGTGAATTAGGGTTTCCCAAACTCCTCGGATCTGCGCCGTGGAGTTGAAGGGGGAGAGTGAGAGAGAGAGAACTAGGTTAAGTTTATATGTTTTCTATGGATAGTGTACGTATCAATCATATTATATATTTATTCAAAAAAAATCATATCATATCTTATTTCCTATTTTTTATAACTGATTTTCTATCTATTAATTATCTCAAGAAAATATATAGACAAATTATCTATATTATTTTGAGTCTATTTATTAAATATTTTATTTATCTACTAAAATGAAATAATTTTATTTAGTAAAAATATTAATATTTTAATAAAAATTACATTTTTTTTCAATAGAATTTAGTATCTTCGATCCTAATTAGAAAGATTAATTCTTTGAGTTGGAGAAGATCATAATGGAAAATAAAATTCTCTTTCAAAAAAATTTAAATATTAGTACTTCGTCCAAACTTATGATCTCTGATTAAGTTGGATGAGATTTTTTATTATCTATAAGATCTGTTTGTTTTAGTTTTTTTTAAATGAATTTTATAGTATAACATATTTTTAAGAAAAAAAATTCAAAGAAACTTTTAAGTATTCATAAAAGTTTCAAATAAAAATTTAGTTTAAATAATTACTTTTAAAATTTTATTTTAAATATTTTGAAGCTATTTCAAACAGCTTTTAATAAAAATTATTTTTAAAATATAATTTTTAAAAATGTTATAATTTCAACTATATTTTGATCTTCTATAATGTATATTTATGTTATAGGATATCAAAATTAATCTTCTAATTTAAAAAAAAAATGAATATAAAAAAGTTTATAATATTTTAAAAAATGATTTTATAAAATCTATTTTTAAAAAAATTAAAGAAAAAATCTATTTTTTTAAACTTAAAACAAACGGATTACTCTTGGTACTAATATGTTTTTTTATTATTTATTAAATTATTTTATTGTTTTTTCTATTTTTTTAAATTGGTAATTTTTTATTTCGTACAAATATTTTGATAAATTAAATATATTATTTTGATTCTTTTAATTGATATTTTAGTAACTATATATATAAATTTTCATTCCATTTAACCAAATATTTTTTAAACATGTTTTGTGAATCAATTTTATTATTTAATTTTAATCTTAATTTTTAAATTAGATTCAATCTTTAAAATTATAGTGAGAAGTGATATCTTGACACTCAAAAATAACACTACACCGTATATAATGTTCACAAATACGTGAATAGTATTTTTATATTATTTTGAATTTTTTATATATTTTTTTCTAAAACTACTTAGTTTAATGAAATAATAAAATTTGATTAATACAGTTTAGAGTTTGATTAATATATATTTTGACATAAAAAAATAGTTTTAAGTTATAAAGTAAAGTTGGTTAATTGATTATAAATTGGTTAATATAGTTAATAGTTTAGTTATTTGGTGTTTTGACATCAAAAATTAAATCTTACATGGTAAATCAATTTTGGTTAATATTATGTATAAAGTTGGTTAATACAGTTTTTAATTTGTTTAATGAGTTTTCAAACATAAAAAATATTAAATCGTAATGATAAGAAGATACCATAACGTTCACAAGAAGTGATTAACTCGCTATTAAAGGAGGTTAATGAGTTGAAGAAAAAAGATGGTTTAACAAAGGAAAGTGATGATGACCTAAAGAAGGAGATTAAATTTTTGATTATTTTGTTGATTATGTCTTGGTTGTTTATCATCATCATGTTGATCACAAAAGCATTTGTTTGAGTAATGTTGTCATTGTTGTAAGGTTGTATTCTTAATGTTACTTTCAAAGTTAATGGTTGTAGGATTATGTTGTAAGGTTGAATGATTCAAGTTTAGGGTTTATGCATTAATGTTAAGGTTAATGTTATTGTCAAAGTTAATGTTGTAAGGTTGGATGATTCAAGCTTAATGTTATTGTCAAGCTTAATGTAAATGTAAAGGTTATGTTGTAAGTTAGTGTTGTAAGTTATTGTTAAGCTTAATGTTAATGGTACATATGTAAATGATACTTTGTAAATGGTTTGCTTGTAAAAGTCACATAAAACTTCTACTGCTACATATCAGTTGCAATTACAAATGGTTACTTTGTAAACTGTTAATATTAGTTTCAAACTGATATTTCTATTGGTACTTTGCAAATTGTAAAATTGTCAAAGGTTACACATTACTGCTACTAATACTTTGTACAAGTTACACATAAAACTGTCAAATTGATACTTTGTAAATTGTCAAATTTTCAAAAGGTTACACATAATGGTTACACTTAAGTTGTAATCCATTACAAAAGTGATGCATCAATTTAACATTACTCCAACAAAAAGTGACACATCTTACAAAATTACTCAAACAAAGAGTTATCCAAAACATAAAGATTACACACAACTAGAATGATTTACACCTTAATAGTCCAAGTTATATGTAACAGAGATTGGTTCTTAAAGTACCCACAATGAATCATGGAAATGCTCAATACTCATAATTTTGACCATGCCCCATCAGAGTAAAAGTGTTGCGACAAAATATTGTGTCATCCAGGTATAAAACACACTTTAAATTCTTGAAGTGCATTGTCAACAAACCTGATTATCTATAGTTGTTAATAGTTGGAATGTAGAAGAAAAAGGTAGAACAATGTATGTTGTATAGAGAAAACTTAAAAAATTACAGCCATTTTTAAGTACCATAATTAGACAAACAACTGCAGGGGTTCAGAAAATTCAGGAGAATATAGTGATGTTGGCATAGGCAGAACAACAATTGGCAGGTGACTTATTTAATAAGGAATATATTGAAGCTGCCAAGCACTGGTCTGATGAAATAATAAAAGCAACTGAATTAAAAGAACAAATCTTTTACAAAAATAAAAAATCAGTTGGCTGAAGCTAGGAGATGGAAATAATGCATATTTTCATGCCACTATTATGGGGAAATAAGCATGTTGGTATACATAAGCTAGAAGATCAGAATGGGAAAGTTATCACTCAACATAAAGAGATTTAAAATGGAGTACTCGGATTCTATGGGGACTTAGTTTAAAAGTCCTCCCAGAGGCTCCTACAGGTAGATATTACAGCACTGAAACGTGGATCTCAACTACAAGAGATACATAGAGATAGCTTGATCCAACCAATTATCGACCAAGAGATTTAGAAAGCACTTAAGGGAATATGAGATGCAAAAGTACCAGGAATGGATGGACATAATGCTAAATTCTTCAAGTATGCATGTGATGTAATTAAAACATATATGAGAGCAGTTGTACGTGAACTCTTTAAATGTAATAAATTATATGTGGCATTCAATTGTGCCTTAGTTACTTTGATACCAAAATTTGTTACTACAACAATAATGAAGGAGATGAGAACAATATTGTGATGTATCACTCTGTATAAAATCATCTAAAAAATCTCAACAACAAGATTGAGTAAAGTGATCAATATATTGGTGGATGAGAGTCAATCAACTTTTGTACCTGAAAAGGTAATTCATGACAATATCACCATTGCATATGAGCTACTAAGAGGATATAACAAAAGACACATTTCTCCTAGATATAGCATTCAAATGGATCTGCATAAAACATATGACATAGTAGAGTGGACAACATTGGAAGCTATTATGATAAAAATGAGTTTCCCCTCTGATCTTACTGATTGATCAGAACTTGTAAGGTGGCCGGATGATGATCTTCAGACGGGCTGGAAATTCGATGAGGAAAAAGGGGGTTTGTACCTGCAAGACACTTCGACGATCAAGTAAGTGTGGGAGCAAAAAGAGTACAAGCAAAGTATTAGGGTTTTAGTGATGAATAGTCAATATTCGATCCTTGGTCCTCACATGAGTGAGGGTTTATATAGTGCCTCTGGCGCTTGACCATTGATCCCTATTTTTAGGCCCGGATATGCGGATCTGCAAAAATAGGTAACTTTCATGACTTGGTCAAACCGGGCAGGTGTGCCCGTAACTAGCTGTTAGTTTTGAGGGGGAGGTAGGTTACGGGAAACGGTCTAGTCAGTTCCTGGTTGTCTAGTCGACTTGAGGTCGGGCAGACTGAGAGGCGCTCGTCAATTATCATAGGTCAGTGCTCGTCCAAGAGGGAAAACAATTGACGGTGCCTGATGGATGGCGGGGGAGCCGAGTCTTGGTCGCACATGTCGTGTCAAAGGAGGAGGTCAGACTGGGCCCACTCTAGCTGTTGGGTCAGTCCAAAACACCTTTCAAATTCATCAATTGGATTATGATTTGTGTTAGTACAGTATCCTACAAATATGTAATTAATGGTCAGCATGGTGAATATATGAAGGCTAAAATGGGATTAAGACAAAGGGATCTTATATCCCCTTTATTATTTGTTTTTGTTCTGGACTGACTCAATGACTAAGATTGGCCTAATCCGCTTCTACCCTTGGCACGACCCAATAACAGTGGCCCAACATCCTGGTCAAC